GGTTCGATTGAGGTCGGAGAGTTCTGGAGGCTCTGCGGGGAAGCGCTCATCAGACTCGCCGTGTCCGCCAATTTCAGCGCGTCCTCGGACTTTACAGACAAATTACTGGTGTTTCCGTCGGCTCTTCTCTTTCTCTTCCTTCTGAAGTTGCCGTTATCGAACATTTTCTCGCAGTTGGGGTCCAAAGTCCAGTAATTACCTTTCCCTTAAAAAGATAAACGGGAAAACATGTTAGTATTGCACTAAAATCTAGCGCGTAATTATGCACGCCAAACTTTGACTAAAGAGCATTCAAACTTACCAGGGTCGTCCTCATCCCGCGCGACTTTCTTGAAGCAATCGTTCAAGGACAGATTGTGTCTTATGGAGTTCTGCCATCCGGCTTTGCTTTTCTTATAAAAAGGAAAGTTGTCCGCCACATACTGATAAATCTGACTGAGCGTCAGTTTCTTTTCCTGCGCGTTCTGAATAGCCATCGCAATCAGCGCTGAATAGGAATAAGGCGGTCTGACCATCTTGAAAAGTTCTTGCTGACTTGAAATGGACAGCCAACCGAGATCCGCGTTTCCGAAGCCGGTGGGAGGAGGAAGAAACTGCCGCTGGTTCGACCCAAATCCTGACTGAATGTAAGAGCCTCCGTTCGGGCCGGAGAGATAGGGGGATGAGGTGATACCTGGGCTGTTCATCCACAGGTACGGGTTGGCTGTGGCTGAGGTGTATTCGCCGAGTCCGTAGCTGGAAGGATGCGCAGGTGGCCTCTGCGCGTGGTGGTGGTGGTGGTGATGGTGGAGGTTCTGTTGGTACATGCTGAAGTTGGTGTCGCAGTACACGGTCATGTCCAGGATGTCCTGCGCGTTGTGGTGCTGGAGAGGACTGGTCTGCTGGCTCGACGGCTGCTGCCCGAACGCGTTCATAATCCGTTCTCCCTCTAGAAACATGAGTTTCACCGATCAGACCCGCTGGGTGTGCTCGTCTCTGAGGGTTTACTCGAGAGTGCCGAGTGCGCGTCAGGGGAGGGGTATTTAACCTGTCCAGGGCGCATGGAGTGATTGAGCTGCTGGTTGGCAACCCCTCCCACTGTCACACTTCTCCTCAATTAACTTCATCCAGTATGCATCAGTCTGGCGTCGAGGTCATTCATGTGATAAGCATTTGAGATTAATGCTGAAGCACAAAAGTGTTTAACTAAAGATTAAAAACAGCGATACTTATTCATTAAAAAAATAATAAATGAATAAAAAAATAAAATAAAAATAGGTTATGGATGAGTGGCTATGGTCAAACATTTCATGTCTCAGTGTATGTTCATTTTTAAAAGTTTTTGTGATACAACCTTAAAGTCTCGACTACAAAAAATAAAAATAAAATAAAATAAAACCTACTGAACCTTTTCAACGCTAATGCCCGGAGTGGAGAAAAGATACAGCTCGTACGATAGCGGGGCACGTTGTCACATTGTAATGGGTCAGTTGTTTACGTTAGAACCTGCCATTGGAATAATGATTGCTAGCAGGATATAACAACTAAAACAGTTATAAAACGCACAACAACTAAACATGAAAAAATGTAAAACGTAACAAAGCGTAAAACCATTTTTTTCAACAAATAGCGTAATAAATTACATTAATTTTAAAACACAGCTTATCACTATCTGACATTCCTAATTTTTTTTTTAATAAGTAAAACCTGCCTTCATTATTGCTAGCCTATAACAGTGTAGTTTTATTGTTCAATAGCAGCAGCTATAACAAAAATTTGGGAATTTAAGTTGGTAACTTAAGTGGATCACAACGTTATTCTAATTTAAGATGATTTAATTCTATGATTGACACCAATATATAGGATAAAGCAACTGTTAGAGAAAACAAGCGTTTGTGTAACTAGACATTTGACTCAAAATCTCAATTGATGACAGCTGAAATAAACATCTAAATGATTTTGGGTGGAAATGGTGTTTGTCAATGAAACAAGACGTTTAGTTTGGACAGAAGGTAATGATGCATTAGCATCACTTAACATGAAATCAGTCTAATTGGACGAAACTCCCCCACCCCCATCCTATGTAAATGTACAGTACTGCTTATCACGCGAACTCAGCGAAGTTTCGCTTGAAATGGATACGGCAGAAAAATCTAAATGAACAGACAGTTTTGGGAAAGGCGGTCAGTTATTCTGCTTTTGCATGAATTTGTAGGCTAGTTACATAGGTTTCTGATTTGTACACTTTGCTTCTTTTCAATTATTTATTTATTTTACATTTTTGAAAATGCACAGGACATTCATCCGACGAGAACATCTAATAAAAAAACAAACAAATAAATAAGAATGTGAAAAATTATGGTCTACTCTGGAAATATTTGTCTCACTATAACTATTGTAGTCATAAATATGGTCTGGGGAATATAATTAATGTTAAAATATGAGGAATTATTAAAGTTTTTATAGCCTAAATTAAAAATTAGTCTTTCTTTCAGTCAATCTTTTTTTTTTTTTTTAGTCTTTGTTAACTAGTCTTTGTTCAAGAGTAAGCAAACATTTAGCCGTATAACCTCTATTATAAAAATGTGAGGATAAAAATAAAATAACTGAAAGAAATGATGGCAATGGTATTTTAAGCTTACATCATGTGCATGACATTCACATTGTGATAAAGCTGATAAAAGACCTCTACGGGCCTGGTGGAGGTGCAGAGATGCTTCTCTATCGCCACCTTCTGGAGTACGAGAACATTTCAATGCAGTCACAATAAAAATACTCATAAGATGTAGCAAATGATAGAAAATGACAGAAGACGGACATGCAATGGCAAGTAAACCCTAAAACGCCCTTTGTCATCTTTTTTCACATTTTAATCATTACAGTTTAAAATGCAAGCTGTTTTTCTTCCTTTCTGACATGAAACGTCAAGTATTTAACAGAGATTAATTTATATCTTAACTGAACATGAGACATTACAGTA